ATTTTAAAAACCATTTCCAGCTTTCTGTGTTTTCAGACTCAACAATCCCATATGCTAATGGGTAAATTCCATTATTGGAATCAAGACCAACTGCTGAAAGGACTTGCCCAGGGAATGGTCCTTTCATGAAGGCACCATCAAAACCTAATAAGTCCCTAAGGCATGCCTTGAACCCTTTTTTCAGTGGACCCAAGCACACATAAATTCTTCTAAACTGCCTAGTTGGGGAATCAGGGTTAGGCTCAGAACATACATCTATTTTCACTGTGGTGTCTGGGTTGGTGGCTTGAAGTTCGAGAACATAGTCCCTCAACAGTTCATACTGCTTTGTGTAGTCACCAGTTATATGCTTTCTTGCCTTATCCTTTGCCCTGAACACCTTGTCCATACTAACACCCACTTGGTAGGTCTTTTGAAAGTGATCTTGTATGGCTCTCAAAGGTATATCTGGATTCGCCTCAACTTGATCAAAGATTTTCTTGCTGATTAAAGAAGCAGTACAAGCCCTGAGTTTCCTTGTTTGCAAACATGTGTGAGTTTGGTTTAAGGTCCTTATAAACCAGTCGGATTCAGGATTTGACCTAGATGCATGAATGTACCAACCACATGTTACTTTTTGTGTCTTTAATTCTTTACCCTTTCTTTTTGAAGTGGTAGCTTGACTACCCACTTGGCCTTTATTGGTGACAGGTACAACACCTCTACACTGTGCCCTAAGCCTTACATTGTCATTTTTTTTAAAGAAAAGATTCCTTCTTGATTCTAGTGCATGCAGATCAATTGCCTCCTTTAATTCTTTTTTACTATTAAATTTATCTCCAACTGAAAAAGATTGTTTATGTACTACCCCAAGACTGCACCTTTTTTCTTTTCTCAAATTCTTGATAAGAGCTCTTCTCTCTCTGTCTTGGTCGGATCCTTCATCCAAAGATTCAAATTCCTCATTGTTAATCACTTCCATATCTTCAGGTTCATGCCCATGAACAACATTTATACAAGAACCTTCCACATCACTTTCAACATTGAGAGTGAAGTCTCCCATGTCCACATCCACATCCTGTATATTGTTGTCAACATCCATTATGTCATCCATATGATCTTCATCTTCTATTTGTCTCTCATCTTCTTCATACTCTGGATCACTATTTTCAGATTCATCATACTCTTCAAAATTTGGATCACTTTCTTGAGATTCATCATCCTCTTCATACTCTTGATTACCCTCTTCAGATTCTCCATCCCCTTCATACTCTGCATTATCATCATCACTCCCAATCAAATTTTCCATAAGGTTATCAAATAACTCATTCAATTGTTCATCAGCATTATTAACAGGGGGGTGTTGTAGCCTTCTTCATCAAAAGTTGATGCCTCTTGAACAACATTTGCAGCCTCCCTAACACCATCCATCTCATCAATATGAACACAAGTTGCTGCCTCCTGAACATTAGTTGAACCATCCAGATCATCATTCTTTTCCTTTGAAATGTGAACAACCTCATCAATATAATCTAAATTAAGCCTCTTGCTACAAGAACTTTCACCTATTTTGGAATTCCCAACCCTACCCCTTCTATACTCTGGTGAGAAACTATCATTCTTACTCCCAAAAAGAATCAGAGACATGAACTCACCAATAGGCTCACCATTACCATGGTTCACATTTTTCATTGGAGAATCTGCATGAACTTGACCCTCAACTTCAGCCCCTTGATCATCATTTTCTGGTAATTCCTCAATGACAACTTTACCCTTTGCATTTGGTGACATGAAGTAAGTCAATAAATTTGTCTTTCCATGCTCTGTGTACACCTCAATCAGCTTGTTATGTGCAATGTATTTAGAAAGGTTGATCACATCCTGATCATTCCCTAAAGCTCTAAGACCAAATTGAAAGTCACCATTGGGTATCCTAAAATGGTAGTATATAACTGGGGATTCATCAGCGAATTCAGAATTCCGTGGGTCTGGGTAACCTAGGTCAAGCATTATGGCATCAAGTTCATGCACAGAAAACTCATCAATGTCCAGATAATCAACATAACGCACTTCACCTCCAATGTACTTTATATCAGGTAATTTAGTAAATTTCCCACCGTGATGAAGCTTAATACTAAACCATGTGGGTGCACCAGCTAAAAATCAAAATTATACATATTAACAAAGTTAAAATTTTGCATTTTTTTGTTCTAAATCAATAAGAAAATGCAAAGTATAAAAGTTAAAGAAAACAGAGCAGCTTACCATATACAGTTGATACATCAACATCTTCGTGTTTTGGTCTGATATGCCACATTACGAACACCATTTCATATTAAACGTATGCCCTTATATGTGTAGTATCGATTATCTAACGAGGGTTTTTTGCAGGTTCAATGGAGCAGAAGCAAGAAGGAGGGAGTTGGGGAGTTGACGAGTGTTGGGGAAAGTAAATGAGGGGTAAATGTTAATTAATCCAAAAAAACGTTTATGCAAAAATGGTCCCTGGCATATGAAATGACGAAATTACCCTCACGTGTGAGGCACGTGAGGGGGCTTAACAGTTCCAACTTTACGGGAGTTAAGTCAGGGACCAAAACCACATAGAAACCACTCCAAAAGGACTATGGTTCCAAAAAAACTCGTGGTTTGTACTAAAACCCCAAAATTTTGCATACCACAGGGACCATTTTCGCAATTTTGTCATATATATATATATATATATATATATATATATATATATATATATATATATATATATATATATATATATATACTAGCCGTTTACTCGCGCAAAGCGGCGGACGACAAATAATTTGTTTCGACAATTAATTTCTTTTCGATAGAGAATGATTATTTTCAATTCAATTATTAGTTTGTTTTATGAAACATATCATATTAAAAATAAAGAAAATTCATGAAATGATCAAATTATAGGGTGTTGAATATTTATTTGGATGAAAAAAGATCTGATCAAAACCTTGGAAGAGAAGATTTATAGGAGTTTGTTTAAATTTTAATATTATTTTATTAGTGATTAGTTGTACAATTAGCTTAATGATTTGGACGTCTTACAAAAATATTATTATTTTATTCAATTTATTTTTAGAAATAGTGAAATTTGTTTTATAAGATAGTATATATATATATATATGAATGCCAGAAAATATCAAGATTGTAAAAATCGTTCGGCGGTAGTTCGGCGGTCGACTGACGATAAACGATTAATCACACTCAGCGGGGATTAATCCGCGATTAATCGGGAACCCTAAATTATTAATAAAATTGTTTAAAAACTAATATTTCCTTAAAAATTAAGTATTTGGAAAATTTATATTTTAAAATTTTGAAATTTTAAAAATTTTAGTCTAATATTTTAAAATTTGAAAGCTTAAAAATTTAAAATTTTAAAATTTTGGTGTAATATTTGATTTTTTTTAAGTTTTAAATATTTCCCGCCTGTGACCGCCAACGCCGTTAAGTCCGGGTTTGACCGATTTTGACCAATTTCCATCAAGCATTTTAATCGTAATCTATTCAAGGTCGCTAAAGGATTAATCAGCCGTCAAGACCGATTTCAAGACTGTAAAATATTGATAATTGTTAACAAACAAGTTTGTAAGAAATAATACAAACTAGCAGGAATCAAGTGTGCGCCTTTGGCGCTGTGTTGCATTTAAATGATGATAAATATTTATGTGGGAATTGTCAATGGATAGTTTGACGTTATGTGGATTGGAGGGTCGTGGGTTAACTGCTTATGTAAGGTACGTTGGTTTGTAATATAATATTTATTTATATACCCATATGGAAGGTATTTTACATGATAACACCAAAGGATAGGAATGAACGCAACATAAACGTAAAGGAAATAAACATAGGGAAACATAAAGACAACGCCATCGTTTAGTCATCAGTTGTATCTTTGATTGTGCGTTTGTATTTTCCAATCCGTTTATGAATTGATCCAAGCATGAAGGAGATGTTGTCTTCCATGGACTGGTCCTCCTCTTTGGTATCTTGCAGGATTGTTTTTAGGATTCTGGAGATGGGGTTGTCAGTCGAGAGACAGGTGTGAGAGGTTTCATCCATGGTGAAGCCTTCTTGTAATTTCGTCTGAGCTGCTTCAGTAAGATCTGCTACTTCTCGAATGTAAGCAATGAGTGAGAGGAGCACGTCGTGGAATTGTTGGTTGTTCATCTTTTAATATGCCTATTGTACGTGTTTCAGTTGTTGGCTTTTTATAGAATTTATGAAAAGAGTGGAGGGGGGGGGGGATGTTATGGGTGTGGTTAATCAATGACGTGTGTATATCTAAATTTCTCTGGGTGGCATTGTTGTTATAGTAGGTTAGATAAGTCATTGCATGCAATTGTATTTAGGGTGTGAGGTGGCCTGTTTTGGTGGTATTAGTAATGCAGCCTATATTGTGTAGGTGTGTATATGATTAAAATATTTGTTATTAACACTATTGGGGTTGAACTTGAGTTTTTTTTATAGTAATGTATATATAATGGTAGTAGAGAGTTGTTTACGTAGTATCGGATGTTGTTCTTATTTTTTTTTTTTTTAATAGTAAGTTTTTTGGGACCAGCATGTCAATATCTTAGATTATAAAAAGCTTAATTTTTTTTATGGCTGCTGTTTTTTAGTACAAGTAAGGAAGGTAGTCATTACTTTTTAAAGAATGAGTAATGTTGGTATGTTGCGGTGGATATTTTTTTATGCTGATATATGCATGGTAATTTTGTAAAGGAATAGTACATGTGTAATGTTGTAATTTGTTTTATGAGTAACATAAATGTTGTGATTTTTTTTAATAATCTAATATTTTATAGGACTCAGTAAACACTGTTGATATATTCATGGTAATTTTATAAGGTTACATTACATACGCAAAATATGATATGGTTTTTAAGTTAGTAGGAATAGTAGTAAAAGGGTTGGTACTACAGAGGTAATAGGAAGTGGAGATAAACAAAGGGTTAGCAATATAGAACTGGTACACAAAGCCATTGTCTTTATTGCGACCGACGTGCTCGTTTCGGGCCTGCATCAGATTTGTCCATACCTGTGATGTAATGTTAACAATCAGTTGTTTTTTCTGGTATACTTGTTTAATGTGTAATGAGTATTACCTGTATTTTCAAAATTTAATGCCCTCTTGACTTTGGGTTGATTTTGTGCGGATGAACACGTAGGTGTTTTATGAGGAACATTAGAGGAGGATGTATTTTCTGAAGGTGGGGTTGTTATTGATGATGATTGAGAAGAGTTGTCTTCGATATCAGTTATTATGAAACGGATGTTCCTTTCAGTTGACGTGTTTGTGATCCTTAATTTCATCTTTTTTGTGATACCTTCGGTCTCTTTTATAATGTTGGGCAATTTTTTCCTATGGTTTGGGTCGCCTTCTAGTATGAGTTTATCTGCTGTTGTTCCAAATATTTTCTGGCCAGCGTTGCCAGATAAGGTAACCGTCATTGAGGAAGTTGGGTCCGTAATTGTTGCCATAAGCTTGTACCTGTGTGCATGAATGATATGAGTTCATAGAATTTGTTTATATATTTCAATTTTTGTTTTGAGGGTGTTGTCACTTACATGGGAGTTGGAGAGGTGATCGTTCTGTGTGATGGACAGAACCAGTCCTTTCCTTGTTTTAGTGTTGATATCTTACACTGTGGATAGAAAACTTGGTACCAATAATCTGAAAAAAGGTACTCTATTATGGATGCCTCTGCTGTAAAAGTTTTTTCCTATTAAAGAATCAAAATCTATAATATATCTGATAATATTGATAAAGGGAAGGTGGATATAACTTTGACAGAGTATAAGTGTACCAAGAGATCTGAATGTTTTTTCTCATTTATCTCTGTAAGTGGCACTGGAAGTCCAAACAGAGGTATTGAAGCAACATTTATCTTGTAGCTGTGAATTTTAGAGACTGTTAGTATAGACATAAACATGATTATAATATATTGTTTTTAGAATGGTACCTGTCTAGAAGTGTATCTGTTTCTTTGATAGGTGGATTTACGTATATGTGGGTTGCACTACTAGTTCCTAATCTTAATGAACCTTGAAATGAAGTTTTTGTGATTATTTTAGATTCTTTTAGTTTTTGTATCAGTAATAATACACATTGGTTTTTCATCAAACGTACCACCATAATCCATGATTCGGACGTTTGTGACAACAATGACAGTAGGAGCAAGTGCATTCTGAATTGCATTCCGATTAAATTTTGAAGGTGCGTCAGTGCATTCTTTCCACAAGCTTATCACAATATCTTCACCACTGTTGATTGCATGTTTTAAGTATGGTAATTAGTATATATGTATATTTTCAAAAGGTGCAACACTTACAATTCATTCCTTAGAATGAGGAGCAGGTAAGGTTCATCGTTTTTCTTAATACAGGCCACCAGTTTAACGAAAACTCCTAAGAAATCTGCACAATGAATGACAACTAATATGTTACATACGTGTTGTGTAAGAGGTATGTACAACATAATAATATTGAAAGTAGTTTGTAAAAGAGCATGTATTGTTATGTCAATATTTTGTAGTCCATTTATGTAATCTAATACCTGGGTATTGGTTGATATAAGCTGGTATTTGGCTTTTTGGTATGAAGTTAAACCAGTGTGTTGGAATAGTAACTGTGTCTGGGATAGAGGTAATACAGGACGCGGTGCCAACAGCGATGTATACTGGATTGTGTAACCATTTCTGGTATGCGTCTGGTTCTCCACATCCATATTTAGTCAACGTGTAGCATTTAGAAATAGCAAGAGCAAACTGTACAAAGCCTTGATCCTTTCTTTGACCAAGAATTTGGATTGCATCACCCTGATATATTAGTAGGAAGCACGTGGAAGTGAGCTTATGCATGGAATGGATGAATATTAATAAGATGGTTCAGAAACTTACATATTTGTCGATCGCTAAAAACCAGGTTTCATGACCTCGGACTTGTGGCGTCCATGTACGGAGAATGCGTACCTGCAGTGCTGTTCCCGGAGATGCATACCCCAGCTCTGAGATTGCAGTGAATATTTCAGACATGTGGCTGACACAAGGTTTGAGAAAAAAAACTGGATATTAGATGTTTTTCTTCAAGGAAAATTGTATATGTTTAGAAATGTACTATGATATGATCAATCAATAAAGATGTGATGTATTATAATATATGTTTGTAGAACATCAATATGATACAAGACTCGGAAGACAGGCAGGTATTGCACGTTGTTCTATAAGAAAATATATTCATATTTTGCTGGTTATTGTAATACAGAAAGGCAGTAAGAGTCTGATGTAAGATGATTTATGTTTACAAAAGATGGATATGCATTCGACCTCACAAATAGTAATTGTGCGCAAGAAATCTGTAAAGACAACATTTTTTGTTTTGCTATGTGCACCACCAACATCAGATTGTATCAGTACTTTAATAGACTGTGGAGATGTAGCACGAGAGAGGGCAACATAAAGTTGTCCATGTGTGAAAACTGGTTCCGGCAAAAAAACTCCGATTTTAGATAGTGATTGACCCTGGCTTTTGTTAATTGTCATGGCATAACAAACCTTGACTGGGAATTGCTTTCTAATGAAGGTAAAAGGGATTTCAGGGCTTTTGTGTATAAATTTTATACGGAGCAGGTACACTTGTTTTCCGATGGATGTGCCAGTAATTATTGTTGCCTGTATCACGTTTGGCAATAACTGTGTAACAATTAACCGTGTACCGTTGCATAAACCTTCTCTTTGGTTGATATTTCTTATTAGCATAATAGGAGTGTTATTTTTCAGTGATAGTTTGTGGGGTGGGATAGCAGGAAAGGTGAGCCCGTTCAGGTATTCGACTGGATAGAAAGTGTTAAATTCTAAAGATTGGTTTCCATTAGATTCTATTGTGTCAACACTTCTATAAGATGTTGTCTTGTTAGGGGTAAGTTCTAGGACGAGCTCGTTTATTATGTTCGCCGTATCATTCTTTGGACATACAATCGCCCTACCTGCCAATACAGATGGAGAAGGATTGAGAAGAATCCCGTCACCATATACAAAATTTATAAGATTTTTCAATGCATTTTCTCCTGGTAGTATAGTGAGGGAAGAGGGTATTTCAATCCATTTTGTGTCTTTTTTATCAATAGGATCTGATTCTCCTAAAACACCATCCCCAACGTTTAGTAACCATGCTGCAAATTCTGATACAGATAGCTCTGATTCTGAATAGGTGCCCGTACTCATTAGACGCATATTATGGTTTAACTTATAAACTGTAAAACATGGCCATAGGTATGATTTGGGTAAAGTCAAACTAATGATATGTGAGATTGTACTTTTTGGGGAAACAGGTAATGTTTGACGAAAATCCCCTCCTAACAGTACGAACATTCCACCAAACACCTTAGTATCACAATCTAGAATATCTCTTAAGGAACGGTCCAGGCATTCGAAACAACGCCTATCATTCATTGGGGCCTCATCCCAGATAATGATAGGCGTACGTTTCAATAACTCCGCAAGTAGGGTTTTCTTTGAAATGTTGCATGCGGCTTTTTGCGAAAGGTCAATCGGTATACTAAATCTGGAATGAGCAGTTCTACCCGATGGTAGCAACAATGATGCTATGCCCGATGCAGCCACAGCAAGTGCGATCTTCCCAATAGAGCGGAAGTATGCAAGTAATGTAGTCCAAAGAAATGTCTTGCCTGTCCCGCCATGTCCGTAAATGAACAGGAGAACCTGTTGTCCGTCTTTTTCAGACGAGACAACCAACTTATAAATGTGGAGTTGTTCACTATTTAATTGTGATAGCATGCGTTGGTGGTCTACTTTGAGTGTGTCTGTGTCATATGATGTCTCTTCTAGAATCAGTCGATTTTGCAGTAGTCTAATTGTCTCTTCCGTTGGTTTCGGCAGATGGAAGTCAGTGACCGATTTCGAAGGAGTCGAGGACTGAAGAATTCCTTCCAGCTCAAACAGAACCAATTGTTGTAAATGAGCATCACCTATATGTAAATTTGATCCCAATTTCTGTGAATTGATATTGTACAGTAAGTCGTCACTCATTTTTCTCCATCCAATTTCCCACAGGGACATAGGATCGCTAACGTCACAGTGAAGAAGCAAGCGACAGAAAAGTGATCTTAGTTGGAATGAAGTTGCCCACTCAGATGCTTCAGTAAATGCGGTCATCCATTCTTTGTCTTCTCCAATCAGGCCCAATGCATCACATGCAGCACGAAAATTTGGATAGACCTTGTTGCAAACGGTACGGATATCCTCATAGGATGTGCAACCAACCTGATGACAAAGCAACATTCGTAGATAGAACAATTCCCCTGCAGAAGGGTGCACAAATATAAGTCTACCTATCGCACTGCTTGTCATACGTTTTCTTCGTTTCCAGATTTTTGCATCCTTATCCCACCAATACTTTGTGGGAAACGCAACATAAGTGAGATTTGTTCCTAATGATTCCCACTTATTATTTTCAAACCATCCTAATAGTAGACTGTAACCAAAATCCGGATGTTGAACAACATCATGGATGAGAGTGTTTTCTTTGAAGTAAACTGTCTGCTTATCTGGGAGATGAACTGGGAGTATCGTGACTGACGGCTCGCGCTCATGAATGCGAAAATCAAAAATACGCCAGGCAGCCTCGTGAGGGCAAAGGTAACGACCGTCAACAAAATTTCGTATTTCATCGACGACAATGTGTTGTGAAGAGGTGGTACGTTGACCAACCGACACATTTTTCTGAACAACAAACCTTACCCACTCCATTCCTTTGGAAACATATTTGAACAAATATTTTATCATCATATTCCAACCACAGTACTCCACATTAATATGAGCGTCAAAACGACTGCATAACCTTTTGTTGTATGGGACAAGATATCTATTATCTACCTGGATCCCATTCTGTAGTGTATGATGTGCCACACAATCTCTGTTATAATGTGCATAACCCTCTTTGTCAAAGGCTGTACAGTGTTGGAATGGTTTTGGAAATTTTTTTTTACATTTGTCATCTTTCATACATGGAGCATTTACATTTACCAAACCACATGGACCATGGATCATACACGTTGTAATGGTGTGGTATAATAATGGTTCTGATGATGGATCTGGCAGTTCAGCAGTAACAAATGCATCAATGTCAGAAGGCTCTTGTATTTTATGTGATGCAGCAACCCACAACAGCGTATGACAATGAGGTAAGCCCCGCTTTTGGAATTCAATTGTGTACAGGTCTACAAAAAAGAAGTCGTTTAAAATTATTGTGAAGTAACGCAGAAATGAAAGAGACAAAAATAATCTATATATATTTAACTAAGAATTAATATATACGACTTACGTGCTACTACAGGTCCAAATGTTTTGTCTTCTTTAAGAAATCTTATAAAGGTCTTTACTTTCATGTGGAAAACACGTGAAATGATATCGGCTCTACTATGTACATCGTTTTGATTATGGAGCAACATGTATCGTCTAATTCTGGCCACTTCACATTGCATGTAAAGGTGATAAAATATTGTGGATTCCCATGTTCTCTACAAATGGAGAGGGCATCTTGATAGTGGCTGTACATGTATCGGGGGCCACCGACAAAAGAAGGGGGCAAAAGCACACGTCTACCAACAGAACGCTTTCTGTATCTCCGTTAGAAAGTGCATCATAGATCCCACTGATGAATCAGATCTAAGATGTTCCTGATTATTTTGATAGAATTCAAGACGAGACTGTTCGATACATGTATAAGCATCAACTAAAAACTGTTGAAACAATCTACATGAATTAAGTATAAGAGAGTGTATATTACAACGTGCGTGTATCTGATAACTATAGTACATGTTCACTGTTAAGTTTCTAGCTTTGGAACCCGATTCATTGAAAAGTTTCAGCCTAGGTGACCACCCGTCCTCACCATACGGGAAAAGCAGAGGGTATTGCAGTGGCATGTAACTTGGATGGAGGTTACTAACCCGCTGTGCCTGACCACCCTTAGAATGTATAAGTATATCGTATCTACTACTGACACAGTCGTCACCAAAAACAATGCATCCCAAAGTACCAGGCGCGGGAGGAGTGTAGCGTCTATCCGGAACATCATTGAAAAGTATATATATATATATATATATATATATATATATATATATATATATATATATATATATATATATATAGAGAGAGAGAGAGAGAGAGAGAGCTGGGTTCAATTGATAAAATAAAAAAAAGTTGACAATGGAGGAATCATTCTCAGCCACTCATTTAATCTAAGCATAAAAGACACGGTGACAAACTTGTAAATATCATAATAACTTTCAATCTCAAATACGTAACTATAGAGAATTCGATAACCGTTCGTTCATCATCAAAAATTTTCCTCCAACCTTCAATAATCATCCAGATTTCTTCAACTAAACCGGAATTTGTTCGCTATTCATTAAATTGAAATCGGAGTTCTGGACTTGCAATCACAGTCAACATTGAGGGACTTAGAATTGGTATTCACAGGTTCCCAATTGAATTTTCGGAAATCAAAATCAAATTGAGAAATCGATGAGAGATAGGATGTCGCATCTAAAGTCGAAATCGGAAGTATATGATGATTTTGAATTGATAACTTGATGTTTTTAACATTTTTAAAATAGTTAACTTGTTTGCACTCCAACTGTTTGATGAAATGCATAAACTAAATTACCACGTTATATTCACATATGAATATGTTTTCTCACCTGAATCAGTATATGATTATTAAAAACACAAAACAAATATGCACGTCTGTATGTTATTCATATGTGAATAACATATAAAAATTATATATATTTGTCAAAATACCTTCAATATTCATAAGTGAATATACCTTGTAATATTCATATGTGAATATACTGTGTAATATTCATAAGTGAATATATCATCTAAATTATATATATATATATATATATATATATATATTATATATATATATATATATATATATCATCTAAATAATATTCATAAGTGAATATATGTTATTCATATGTGAATAACATATAAAAATTATATATATTTGTCAAAATACCTTCAATATTCATAAGTGAATATACCTTGTAATATTCATATGTGAATATACTCTGTAATATTCACATGTGATATACCATGTAATACTATGTAATATTCACATATGAAATATCTTTTAATACTCATAAGTGAATATACCATATAATATTCACAAGTAAATATACTATATTAATATTCACAAGTGAATTCATCGTCCAATATTAAAATATAAATATACTATGTTTATTATATGCTATATTCATATATGAATGATACTTATATTGTAAAAAAAAAATCATACTTTTTATTAATAAGTGAAAAACGAATGTACTGTAATAAAACATGATGCATTGTTATTCATTTATGAATAACGATAGCTGAAAATATAAAATAATAAAAAAAAAAATTTATCTTAAAACTATATCAATATACATGTCTATTTGTAGAGAATAAAAAATCATGAATTTTGGTATATTTAAAATCATATTTTGATAAAAATAGCTTATTAAAATTAAAAAAACGAAAAAAACTATGTTTTTGTATATATTAAGGTAATGATTAGCATAGTTTAAGGAAATATGTTATGTTGGAAAACACATGTGCATTCGTTTCCCATTTCCGCCGGTACGTTGGAGCCTTTTGCGGCAAAAATAAATGATTGGTTGAGAATGATTCCCCCATTGTCAACCTTTTTTTTTCTCAATTAAACCCTCCCATATATATATATATATATATATATATATATATATATATATATATATATATATATATATATATATATATATATATATATATATATATATATATATTACTGAACACCTTCCACATAAATAATGGTGCATTTAGTTGCGGAAAAATGGACCGTTTTCCGGAAAAAAATTCAAAAAAAAATGAGAATTTTGAAAACGCATTTTGTTCGTCTATTTTTCTAAATTTTTTACGGAAAATAAAAATTTTCTGTTTTCCAAAAATTACAAAGAGGTTGGAAATTTTTGGAAAACTGGTAATCATTGTTTTCCATATTTTTCTAATTTCAAAATTTTTCTAAAATATAAACACACACTCACCCCACCCTATCCACCTCTACTTGCCCCCACCTTAACACCCCCCACCCACACGGCCACACACACATACATACCCACCTCCACACACACCCACCCGCACACACATACACACACCAACCTACAAACACACAC